CACCACTCCCCCCACCCAGGAGAGAGGCTGAATTTAACAGAAAGGAGCATAAAAGGTTGAAACTGGCAAATAAAATAAAGTGAAGCAAAGAAAAGCGGCAAAAATCAGCAGAAAAACTCCTCAAAAGTAGCTGAAAAGCAGAAAAAGGCTGGAAAAAAAGAATAACCTGGAACTAGTAGAGCGAAGCTCAAAGTAGCAGATAAATAGCTGAAAGAAGCAGAACGCAGCTGAAGCTAAACAAAAGCTAAAACAAGCCGTTTCAAACGGCACCAAGGGCGTGGAGAGCTCTATTCATTTTCGATGAGAAAAACACGGCCGAAAAGGCTAAACGTTTCAAAAAGTTTAAAATGCACCGACACCAAAAGTCACAGCAGAAACGTCCTGAACGAGCCGAACGTTTTGACACGAACCGTTAAAAACGGAACAAAAATTACTGAACGAGTTACGAGCTGAAAAATGAATGGAAGAAAAACGGCTCTCAATGGTGAGAATGATTCACCGCAGCCACTACCACACCAGGCGTGAGCTAAAAGTCTGTAAAACTGACCAAGTCACAGGCCTCCTTCTGTTTGGTGAGGATGATCAGCTGTGGCGGCCATCTTGAATTGGGTTTACTCCTAAAGGTAATCTGTTGTACTTAGGTCCGAACCCAAAAAACCCCGACATTTTTAATTAAGCTTTGACTGCTTATATAGTTATTAATGGTTGGCAGACGAGCGCTGCTGAAAGATCGGAGCTGAGGGGGTGTTGGTCCTTTCATGGCCGTCAAAGCGCATTAAACCCCTGCTTCTGCATTATTCACGCACGGACCATGCTCTGACATGTCTGCTTTGGGATCTCACCAGTTTGAGTGCAGCGTCTGAACGTCCATTTGGGCGACGCTCTTCCAGGCAGCACCGTCTGAACTTTATTTTAGCACTTTCAAGGCCGGTCAGCTCGCTGTCAAATAGCTGTGTGCGGCTGGTGGTTTTATGGCAGGCCACGTTGCCATATAATTGGATTATATGGCAATCCATGTTGCTATATAATTGGATCGTCAGCCACGTGCGTCTGCTGACGCAATCAAAAGCCCGACACCAACCCATTATTATGGCCCGGCCCAAATTGGGTTCATGCCGGGCTCCGGGCCCGGGTTAGCAATGACAGCTCTAATTCACACCCATCTACTCACTACAGACTCATGTTCAGGCTGCTGTTTAATATACCACATTATTTTACATTATTAGTGTTTAGCGTATATCTTATTGTATAATCTTAGATCCTTGTATACCGTCTCTTTTTATACTTTAGCTATTTTTGGGTGTAACTGGGACCTTGAGTACACAGTTTCGTTCCACCTCGTGTACCACGTGATGCGAATGACAATAAAGAACCTTGATATCCATCCAGCGATTACGCCCTGAGGGATTCATTCAAATCCATCAAGGCGTCCATAAGAGATTTTGCTAACAGACAAACAACAGAGGTAAAAACATGAACGCCCGCCTTTTGACGATGATAAAGAAACACCATAAGCTAAAAGGCTGAGGGATTATATAATCAGGCAGATGGTCTTGTCGAATCCCCCACACACCTCCCTCCGTGTGCCTCTCCCCCAGTTGGGTGAATGGAGGCCATCTGGGATTGGCCGGTTCTTCTGTGAATGGAGAGAAAACCATTCAGCACCACGGACAGCTCCACCGTGGAGCCTGACGCTGCCCCCGTTTCCAAACGCATCGCTACACCCAAACCGGACACACGGTTTTCAGGAGAGGCCCCTGCGCGAGAGCAGACCTACATAAGGAGCCAGGTAGAAGAAGAAAAAAAAAAAGACTTCCGGCACATTAGGCAGGGAAACCACCTCTTGACTTTAATGAAACGGCTCTCCATGTGGAGTAGAGTGGCCACGGTGAACACCTGTCGGACTGCGACAACACACACACACAGGGAGGGGGTGGGGGCTCCATGACTTGTTTGCAGAAGCCATCAACCTGATTGTAAAGGCAGTGATATAAAGCAGGACTGGGGTAATTCCAAGCGCCTCATGGAGGCAATCGACTGTGAATTATGAGCTAAAAATGTTTTTTTTAAGCCAATAGAATTAAAGAAGTTAAACAACGACTGAATGCGGTAACAAAAGTTCATCTTTCTGTTCTTATCGGTACATTTTGTTGATTTTCGCTCCCTGGCCATCACCTAAACTCAATTCACATTTAAACCCTAATCCCAATCCAAAAGTAAGGTTCCATCGAATTAAGACCAAACTCTGGTGCAGTGCCCACGAGAACTTCCAGTCCTGACAAGGCAGTGATTACAGTACACAATACTTCGCGGTTCGACTTTCGCGGGTTTTCAACGCAAGACTGTACTCGACACACGATTGTCGACTTTAACATTACTCACGTGATTGGGACGGTACGGGATAGAAAGTTAATGGGAGCGGACGGGAGCGAGAACCAACCAGTAGGACAAAAAAAATAAAAAAATACTTCGGAGAGGTGCCGCCATTTTGTAGTTTTTTTCTTTCAATAAGCCTATACTGTAACGCAAGTCAAAAGAACTACACGGTCCAGAAGCCAACAGTGCTTCTGGCCTCTGCTTCCTGCTGAAACTGAAAGAACATTAAGTGAGTACCCATATAAAATGTTGCAGTACTGTACAGTACATATACGTACGTTGTTAAAATTATGTAGCTTAAAGAGTTTAGAACATTGCAAGAGTGTGGGAAGGGTTTATAAAGCCTTAATGTAGCGTCCCTACTTCATGGATTTTCACCAGTCGCGGGGGTGTCTGGAACGTAAACCCCGCGTTAACCGAGTACCAAAAAGGTCCTAAAAAGGTGTACCACATACCAGTACTCACTCACACAAGTCTGTATTTCTACTCTTATTGGGACTTCCATTCATTTCTGCCATCTAAAGCCAATTTAAACTGCTGCGCATTAGCTTTTAGCGAATCCGCTAATCCAAAAATGAGGTACCACCCAATAAGAACCGGACTCTGGTCCCTATAAAGACTACTGGTTCTGGCAACGTAGGTACCAGAAAAGGTGCTACAATAGTTAAATGAATAAAAAAAAAACTATGTAGGCATCCTTATTAGGATGTCCACAGCAGGACAGGACAGTTGTGGACAACTATGACACGTGTCTGCTGTTCAACGTGACAATGACAAAGACAAAAGAACCGGTGGTGGAGGACCAGGACAAGGGGTCAGTGTGGACATGGAGGAGCAGAAGTACTTGGGAAGAGTCTCTCTTGAAAAGAAGTCTTCGTGACTCAGTGAGACTTCTTCTTTCAGCTGCTCCCTTCTTCAGGGGTCGCCACAGTGAACTAACTCGCACGAAGAACTGGAAATTGTTTTTACGCCGACTTCCCTTTCTGAAAGAACCACAGACCACTGAGCTACCACAGCCCTCTGTGTGGAGCGGGAGCACATGGTGGGGGTTAAGGGCTTTGAAGAATGGGGCAAATGAGGGTGGAGGCAGGTGTGAGTGTTTCACCTTTCCCACCCATATTTTCATGTCGGTTTAGGGAGTTGAACTGGCGACCTTCTGATCAAAGGGACCACCTTCTCTTACCTCTGCACCACCACTCCCCCCTAGTGACTCAATGAGACTAAAGGCTGAATGAAACAAAAAGATCAAACTTTAGGTCAAAAATGTGGAAATGACCTTTAAGAAGGGCCAGAGTCGGCTTATTTTCCCTTAGCCCCCAACGAACAAGAGCCCGTCATATCAAGACTGGGCTTTGGTACCCATCAGGACTACTGGTCCGAAAAAAGTATGGGATTACAGCAGTCTCTTGCTACTTCGCGGTTCAGACTTTCACGGTCTTTCAACGATTGTCAACTTTAATATAACTCACGTGATTGAGACGGTATGGGATTAAAAGTTAATGAAACCGCCGTTTTGTAGTTTTCTTTCCATAAGCCTACACTGTAACGCCAGTCAAAAGAACTACACTACCCAGAAGCCAACAGTGCTTCTGGACGCTGAAGCAGTACTGTACAGTAATACGTATGTTGTTAAAATGACGTAGGCTTAAGAGTTTAAAACATTACAAGAGTGTGGGAAGGGTTTATAAAGCCTTGAATATATATAAAACTAAAATAAATATAACATTTCTACGTTGTGGTTTTTCCACCTATGGGGGGGGGGGGGGGGGGTCTGGAACGTAACCCTCGCAATAATCGAGGGACTACTGTGTACCAGAAAAGGCTCTAACAATTCGTAGAACAATCGTAGACAGTAGAACGCCCTACTTTTATACTTTTAAGGGCGTTCTATCATTCTTGTCCACAGGACAGGACAGTTGTGGACAACCGTGTTGACAGCTCAACGTGAAAAAGACACGGTGGTGTGGATCTGAGGAGGACCAGGGGTCAGTGTGGACATGGAGGAGTAGAAGGATTCGGGGAGAACAAACTGGACCGGTTCAAGAAGGTGGTCATGAAACGCACGAAGGGCCAGAGTCAGCTTTACTTTCTATGGGATCCAACAGATGAGATATGGACCATGTCCTGGTCCCTACGAGGACTAAGGGTCCTAAATAGGTGGGGTGGATTTTACCAGGAAAAACCCTAAATGGGGGGCTGAGATGGGGTAGAGGTAGGGCAGCCAACTTGGGACCAGAAAGTCGCGGTTCGACTTCCAGCTATTCCCACATGGCGTCTCTGAGCAAGACACCAAATCCCCAATTGCTCCCCAGGCGTTCAATAGTTGCCCACTGCTCCACCTGGGTGCACCCCAGGTGCAATGGGTTAGAATCAGTCTTGTCATTGTATGGCGTGCGACGTATAGTACTTGTACTACCGTGCACACACTCGGGGCCTTCGTGTGCACGTTAGCATGGGGCCTAAACAGAGAGGAGATGAATGAACATGAGGCCCTGAGCCGGGAGTCTCCTTGGATCTGTCACCCGTCTCCATGGCGACAGGACCAAAACTGGCATCTATCCTGGGCCCAAATCAACAGATGGCCACCACTCCCCCCCCCCCCCCCCCTCCCCCCTCCCCCCTACCTTGCACTGCTCCATGCACGTCCTCACTGAATATTCCCCCGGCTCGTATTTCAGCGTGAGGAGCTCGAAGTCGTCGTACTTCTCCTGCGCGTGCTGGTCGTAGCGCCGGTACGCCTCCACGCAGTCGCTGCATCGCGCGGCGGCGTCGCCCCGCGCGAGCGCGTCCAGGCTGCAGTTCAGGTTGTCCGGGCTCGTGGAGCCGCGGAACAGGTCCAGCAGGGAGTAGGAGTCACAGAAGGCCAGGCGCAGGTCGCTCATGTTGCCCGCGGCGCGCGCCGTCCCCTCCTCGCGCTCGGAGACGCCCGCGCACAGGTCGTCCGCATCCACGAAGGCGAAGCAGTCGCCGGGCGCGCTGTCCCGCCGCTCGCGCGGGCAAGTTTCGAGGCGCCACAAATGTTTGGTAGAGTTTCCTAGAAAAGCAGCGCGCGGGCTGCCCGGGAGGCCGCCGCGCGCCGGGGGGGTCTGCGGGGAGCTGAGGTGGGAGGACGCGAACTGGTCCGGGGTTCGGGCCAGCGTGGCCTCGGCGCAGAACCACAGGAGATCAGAGAGGAGGACGGTGAGGAACAGGAGGGATGCCAAGGACAGTCGCCATCTCTGCGCCCTCTCGGAGTCGGTGAATGGCTTTTGGTGGTCGCGGGGGGGCTCTAGCCAGATTTGGAAGCCGTCGTCATCTTCTTGCTGCCAACACGTCCCAGCACCCCTGGTCATATTTTGGGAACCGGCCGACTCCACCGTGGGGGCTCCTCTGCCGCAACAGTCATGGACGTGGGGAGCCGAGTGCGTTGTCCTCCCCCCGAGAAGAGTGGAGTGGGTCGTCCCGGCGTGCCGTCGCGTTCAGCGGCGACTCCCATCAAAGTGAGCCGGCTGGGAAATCAGACGCTGCCGCCCGCGGGCCGCATCCTCCATGGCCGCGCGGTGAAGCCTCCCCGCTCCTCTGCGTCGCCTCCGCTCCGTTTTTAGAAACACTCACCGACGCGCTTACGTTTTCCCCGGCCTCGGTCGCGCGCGGACAAGGGCGCTACCGTCGTCCAACATGGCGAAGGAGGCTGCCTTTAGTGTTGGCGGTCGGGCCCCGCGGCCTGTCACACACGTACTTTTAGTTCTTTCGCCTTTTTTTTTTTTTTCAAGCCCTCGCCGTCTTCATCTCCCGTGGTCAGGTTGCCGCCATGTTCGCCCAGAGACGGTGTGTGTGTGTTAGCAGGAGTCCGCGCGGTAAGCTAGCGATGACGTACGGCGGCATTTCCTGTTTGATGTTTCAAAATAAAACCACCAGAAGCATCTTTAGTGTGCAACAAAGTCCATGGTGGATGGCGGTGGCCCTGAGGTGTAAATGAACAACATTTGAAAAAACAGAATCACGTTTGAAAAAACAAAACTACATTTGGTTAAACAGAATTACATTAAGTCAAAGTGGAAGTGACCAAAGCAGATGTG